GGGAATTTTCATTGAAATGTCTATGAAAAGTCAATGCACAACATGAATTCCTGTGGGTGATCCTTTTGAAATGCTTTATGCATGGAAAAGGATGCTTCCATTTCATTCTTTAACTTTAGTCTAAGTTCTAAAACTGGATCACAACAAATTGGTTATTTTCATTCACATGGCACTTTTGTCGAATAAGTTATGCACCAATTGTAAAGAAAAAAAAATACAGCAGATTTTTCCTACAAGAACCAGGGTCCATGCTTTCTCAACTAAACCATATGTGTTTGAATATTTGTAGGTTTGAATGAAAAGGTGAATTTTGATTTACTTATCAAGACAACATAAGCACATAAGAATGTATACAGGAGAGAGTATGTTCTACAAGAGGAGGTCATTTGGTCCATCTAGCCCATTTGGCCATTAGTAGTTAATTGATCCAAGGAATAAATTGAATGGATCTCCTTTCACAAGATGGTACAGTATTTCATTGTAAAAAACAATTACTAAATACATAGTTAAACACTTAAAATTAATATTTAATAATGCAATTAAGTTAGATGGTAGCTTCAATGGTAAAAATGCTCTACATTTTACAAAAATTACATTTGAAAAATAGGAAAATATGTAGTGGAAATTTTTAAAAATACAACCTAAAAACTGACATGCAATGATCATGATACTGGGGGATCTCTGTGTCTCTTTTTGTTCCTACTGAGCTCTTAATCACTGGTGTTAACTGATGTCTTAAATTAACATGCTTTTATGCTATTTTTTAGAACTCAGTACTTGGTTTAAGAAATGATCCTACATTTCCAAACACCTTCAGGACATAGACATTTGTGCAGGAAAGAACTTCAAGCTGCAGGTGCTAATATGAAGCTTAGAGGGGGGAGAGACATAACACCTTTGTGCAATATGTGAACACCAAAATGTCTTTCTTTTTAAGTTTTAGTTGCAGCATCCAACTATACGCAATCCAAATACATTTCAAGGGGAACAAGACACAGCAGCACAAGATTCAGAAACTAAAAATGGGTATAATAATATTTTACAAAAGAGCCAAAGCTACAAAAAATGTTGCTAAACTGATATTAGAAACAAAAAATCAAATGACACAGTAAGTAGACTGCTAATGTTATCACAAATATTTCTTATTGTATTATATTTGGCAATAAAATGTTTTCATCTCAAAACAAATAAAGCAATTTCAAATATACTTGTTTTTACTCTTTACAGCACAGTGATAAAATATTATACATTTATAGTTTCAGTTTACATTTAACAATACAATTTAAGTTACATTGTTACTTTAAAATGTGAAAATGAAAACTCAAATTAACTATGCGGAGGAACGAAACAGTTCATTTAAACTGGTAGCTAAATTTAACTTGTTATTCTGTCTTTCTTATACTGTAAGCAATTCTATATTCTTATTGAAAACATAAAACATTTCTGTAGAAACTATTTCTTAGTCATATATAGACTAACTGCTTAGAATGTTGCAGTAACAATTATAAAAGCAGGTATTTAATATGAACATTGCATAAAAAACAACAGGATTAAACGCAAATATGAAAATGTCTGTCTCATATTAAAGAAGGTGGTACATAATATTAATTTTTGGTTAACTATAACTAGTAGAAAGAAATTCAAGAAGGTGGGTTTATTGTGAAAAATGACAATATTTGTTATTAATAGTCAAATATCCTTCAATTACGAGTGCTTTAAAAACTAGTTATGCTTGATAGGTAAACAGGCCTGCTTTCCAGAAACAGCAGCACAGCAATAACCCATCCATCCATTTTCTAACTGCTTTATCCAATACAGGGCCGCAGGGGAACCGGAGCCTATCTTGACAAGCAATGGGCACAAGGCAGAGTACATAGGATGTCAGTCCAATGCAGGGCACACACAGACACAAACATGCACACACTAACTGTACACCAGGGGCAATTTTCCCCAAATCCAGTTAACCTACCAGTATGTCTTTGGACTACTGGATGAAACCAGAGCACATATACAGTAGGTAGCACAGTGTGATATGTGAACGTAGGATGAATATATAAGCTCCATACAGATAGCGCACCATGTCTGGAATTGAACACCGAGCCCCAGCCTGCAAAGGCAACAATGCTAACCATTGCACCACTATGCCAGCCTGCAATAATCCACTTTTTTAAATGATGGTACAATATAATTAAAGGCAATAGGAACATCTACATCCCAAGACACAATTTAAGTATAAGCTTGATTATAAGTAGGATTTTAACATACTGAATAAAATTAAGGGAATCCAATAGCTGCAGGTGGCAAAGTGGTTAATACCACAGCTTAACAACTCCTGGGATTTTGTTTAATTCTGGACTGGAGTGTCATTTGCAGTTTGACAATTCTTCCGGTTTTTGTGTGGGTTTTCTGTAGGTGCTCCACTTTCCTCCAAGCTTTCAAGGGCTAGGTGAATTGGTGTTTCTTTATGGTCCCCATATGTATGCCTTGCTGTAGACTGGCTGCAGTCTGTGCTTCAGCAATAGGCTCAGGGTTGGTGTAAACCTTATCGGGAATAAGCAGTGTCCAGATAATTGATGGAGTTCAAAAGCATTACTAAATGTGTAGCTAGTGTTCTTGGCTCAGAATCAAAATGTCAGTTTAAATTTCCAAGTAGTAAAATCCTGTCTATATATGGTATAGCGGTGAGATTTCCATTCAGATAGTAAAATTTGATTGGGTATACAAAGCTAATAAATATTATTGCACTGTTGCAGTTTTAAGAAATGGAACATTTACAGTACGATGTTTCCCAAAACCCCAAAAATAATAAATACACTTAAAATGTATTATGGAAATTTATTTTTCTATTGTCAAAGTGTTTTTCTCTCTTAGGTTAAATACAATTTATATAACATGTTATGGTTGAATTTAATCATCCTTGTGATCGGTTGTAAAGTAACCATTTTAAAAAACAGCATTGATCATATTTACATCTACGTCTGCTGGGACAGATTTATTTTCACTCTATTCTTTAGTGCTTTTTGACATTCTGTAACTTAGAGGAACACTTGGCTGAAGCATGTCATGTATTAGCATAAAATAATATTCTCTGAAGACTGCGAATTAATGTTTTATTTCCAAATCTGGGCTAAATAATAAAATATACTTAGGAAGATAAGTCTTTTAGTAACATTTTACAATTAAAGTCCTTAATATATTGAAATCAATATTAATAAATGCAACCGTTTTCTGAATTATTGTGGCTTATGTTATATTATTAAATTACAAGTATGAGCGGAAATCATCATAAAGTTGATTTAAATTATTTCTACTGTGTTTTTTTTTTTAAGTAAAATAGATGTCTCTATTGTATTGGACATATAAAATTCGTTTAAGAGAAAAATTTCCATCTGCAACACAAATGTGTAATGTATTAAGTATTCCTAGGGAAATGGCTATATTAACTGCTTTGTAACACACTTGAACTTGAGGCACATTGTTAAAAATCAAGGGGTAATTATACTTAAAACGTGTTGTGCAACTGGTAGCTGAATCAAATATTTTTCCTTGTAATGTATTATATTTTAAGATACAGACTGTCAAATGTATATTCCACTGCTATGATTATTACTACTGCTACAATATTCTGCATTTTGGACAGAAAGAAGTGGTATAAAAGCACAAATATTTCTATCAACGCTGAAATCACAAACAGAAGTCGACTTGCCGTTTAATAGTAAAATTAATTGATTTGCAGTAAAAATCGTTGGTAATTCCTCTGATTTGCACTGTGATTTGATTTTTTCTTTTGTACAGACATCTAATGATTTCGATTTAGTCTACATCATACATAGACAACTTCGTAAGTCATGTTCTTTCACCTATTTTGCACGCATAGCCCACTTCACGTGCTAATGAGCTATACGTAATTATCGCCGGTCTTTGTGGAATTGGCATATGTGCATCTGATAATCCCCTTAAAAAACGACTTGAGAATACCGGAAATAATATGTCAAACGTGCAGTTCTAATCAGTTTCTCTGAGGAAAAATGCCAACGATGCGCAATGTGTTTCCTTTTTCCTGAACATACCTTCCGGTGTCAATGTTGTGCAAATGTTGCTGTAATTGCTTTCATTGTGCACTTGTGTATTCAGAGTCTTAGTAATTAAACTGCCCATTAAGCATTGTTTTATGACATCAGTGCCGAACTGCTTTTAGTTTAAGCGTTGGACGGTTGAACTCATGTCTGCCTTAGCTCAACAATCTTTCAGCTTCTAACACGTAATTGATTGACGTTTAACGTGATCAATTATTGGTTCTAAAAGGACTTATGTACCGAGCTGAATGCTAACAAAAAGCTTAGCTTTAGTATAGCTATAGGTATTCTACTACAGCTTCAGTGAATAGTGTATTAAGGCATGTTCAGTATTCCAGTATGATATAGTAATAAATTGCACTTGAATGCATCATTGTCTTTTTGGAAATCTGATATTGCTTGTCTTTAAAAGATAAAACAGGGTTGTCACTGCTTTTTGACTTATATATACAGTGTATTGCTTTGATCATATACAGTATGTGAAATGGCTGTTACAATTGTATTACTTTTTTGGTTTGTAAGTGACTTATGAAACTACAAAATAAAATTCCTACAACTGTAATATAAAAAATGTATTTTTGATTTTTTATTATAGTGAAGTACTATTTTGTGAGCATGACATGACAGCACTCAGTTTCTATTCCACTGTAATAAGTTTTCATATCTTCCCTCCTCTGGCAAGGAAAAAAAAATGTTGGATGTATTTTATGTGGCTAAATTTGAACATTTTACCCAGACCCTTGTCTGAAGATGGAAAAAAGAATATTTGCAAATTTCCTTTTAATATTAGAAGATTTGAACTGTAAAACTTATATACTGTAACCATAATAAAAAATAAAGCATTTTATTTTTAATAAACTGCATTTTGTCAAAGCACAAAGGTTCCAGGACACAAATGCAAAAATATAGTTACATTTATTTCAATATTTACATTAAGTGCTAACAATTAACAAATGTAATGCAATATAGAACATTCTGCCCATTGTATAAAGAGAAAACATCTGCTTATTACTTAAAATTTAAAGTTTGTTCTTGGTCCCCACAGCTATTTTACTTTTTATACAACTGAAATATTGTCCATTGTGCATCCACATTTCTCTACAATCATATTTGGGAATTCAGCCACTTCAATCTCAGTGTATTCTCCCCTTTTCACCAGGTACATCATAGGCAGTGGAGCACTTTCAACTGCAGCGCAGGTCCGTTCTCCATATCCATAGTTTCTCTTTGGTTGCTTGCAATTTCCTGCACAATGAAAAGCCTGGTAACCAGCAGGTTCGATGATCCAGTACTGAGTCCAGGTTAGCTCTCGGAAGTTAATATAATATTCCTCTCTGCAGCAGACACTGTTTGCCTTGGCTGTGTTTTTTTCGCAATCACCCCTGGAACTGGATAGACAAGAAAATAACTTAGTTTAATTAATAACTCCAATCCACCATTCATTTATTATCAGTATAACAACTTTTTCCCGTGAAGGGTCAAGGAAACCCAGAATTACTGAGCTTAAGCTGGGACTAAATTTTGAACTACCACACTTAAAATATAGAAACGCAAATTAACCAAGCCAGCATGTCTCTAGATGGTGAGAAGGAGCACAAGTGAACATGGAGGGAGCATGCAAACTCTGCACATGAAGTCAAGAGCAGTGAGGCTAAAGTGATAACCATTATGCCACCATGGAGTCTTGCCAATAAATCACATAACTCAATGCACACCTAAATTGAGTTATGGCAGTAAAATGTAATCAGTTTAACATGTTTTGTAGAATCTACAAGTAATCTAGCCACTTTAAAGGAAGTTTAGCAACCTTCCCTAGACATCTAAAATCATCAGTGTCCACTTAGTTTTGCCCAGACACCAGTTTGTAAACGTTTACTTGAAGATGAGGCAGTAGAAGTGAGACCAACACTTACCCATATTCTTCCAAGTTCAAGGTGTAAAGGACTAACTCAGGTTTTCCCAAGATTTTGTCAGAAGGATCCTGAGATGTGAAACGGATGCTTTTTGCCATCTCAGTGGCGTAACTGCCTGGTCTTTCTCCATCAATCCAAACTTCAAGGTACATAGGTTTCTGTCTGTTGCTTTTTGACCAATAGTGCACAGCCTGAGTCACATCAAAGCTCTTCCAGCCAGTTTCGTGGATTGGCACCAACCTATCACATTAGAATAATTGACAAGACATTTAATAAGATCAGCTTTTACTAATATATATTATTGATTATCAAAAAGCCATAAATTCAAATTTCAGACTTAGAAGTAGATTTTACCTGGAGTCAACCAGTGATGTTCTGTTTGATCCATTTTCTAGTATTTCCACCCAGTATATGCTGACTCTAGCATTGTTGACAGGTCGAAGACTCTTCCTCTCTGTCAGGGGGAATTTTCGTGGTGCCTTCTTAAACAGCTTGAGCTCTGCCATAGTCACCTCGCTATTTTCTGGAATTCTGGCCTCCATGTCAAAAAGTAGCTGCTGTCTGGTTGTGTCAGTGTACAGAATTTCTCCAGATATATCTGAAATCAAAAGCAGAAGTTTGTGTTTAAAAATGTTTTAAAAAATCAAGAAAAAGTTCCACACAATGGCATTTAAAATCAAAATGCACAGAACCATTTGTAGATTCCTCATCTCACTTTTCTTCTGTTATTTTAGTAGTCTGATAGACATATATTGCTGATGACAAGTGCTTACACATTTTACATCAATACACAGATCTACTGTGTGATTCTATTGCTGTAGACGTGTTAAAGTGATGTGCAAAACCTAGTTTCAGGTTTGGGTTTGAAAATATGTTCAAATAAAAGTGCATTTATGGATGTCTGCTTGCTTTTCTGCTGTATTGCTTAATGCTCATGACTGAAATAAATGCTTAAAATGTTTCATTTGTGTGTTGCAAAACATTTTTAAAGCAAACTAAAAATCTGAACAAAATGTGAAGATAATTTAATTCTAACTTATCTGTTTCACAAAATTACCTAATGACAATAAATGAATATTAAATGCTGAAAAACAAATAAAATTGTATCATAACTATAAAAATGTAGATTGAAAAAAGACATTTACCAGCATTTCCTGGTATACCCCTCAGGATGCCTGCTAGACTGGGGAGAGACCTCCTTCTTCTCTCTTTGTGGAGTTTCAGCATGGAAAGATATTTATTCTTGATATGTCCTGGGATTACCATATTTTCCAGGTCCCTCTTCTGAATGCTGGGCACTTCTTTCAAACCCAGCTTCTTCAATATGGCCTCCTTCATGTCTTCGTGAGTGAAAGCTTCCACCACCGATAGCAGCACAACACCAAGAATCAATTTTCTGAAGACCATCTTGAAAGTCTGTTCTCGTCAGACCCAGTGAAAGGTTTCCCAGAGAGTGGGTTGTAGTGGCCTATAGAGATTGCTAAGGAATGGCTTTAGGTAGCCAATTTATACAGTGATCCAGACTGGCATGTCCTACTTAAACAAAGCTGTTCGCACATGCTTAAGGAGGTGGTGACAGAGGATGGGATGGACTTCAAAGTCACCCCATTGAGGTCATAATGCCAGATTGTTGCCTTTCAATCCACTGTAGAAAAAGCATGTTTTTTCTCACCTTTTCATGAGAAGCATACATACATTTGATTTTTCTTGCCTTTTTAATAACATACTAATTTTAGTATTTCAAAGATTCTTTCGAACTAAACAATGAGTTTCAAGGTTTTAAAAGTAATTAAGAAAATATCACAGCTTTTGTCTCTTTGAAGTGTACTTACCTTATCAAAAAAGTGAAGCCCTTTTTTATCACTTGTGTGGTTTAGACTTGAAAATTACCTTGCGAGATTTAGAGGATTATCTTCTTATCCTATAAATTCCTTCGTTCTTGGTCGTAACGTATACAGTGTGTGTGCATGCATAATTCTATAACTAATGCCACTGTTGGGTAGCTAGGAAATTGTAATTATTAAAATATTTTATACTAAAAATACATAAAAATTCATAATTATTTCGTAAAACACAGTTAACAATAACAAAGATATCTAGTATGAAAATATTCTTCACGCTCTATTAAATTCTATTTAGCTAGCTTAGATACTGTTTGTGAAGTTTTAAGTGAACTAGCTGTCATGAGTGCATTCAAACGTGAAATTCCTTGGAATTAATTTACTACATAATAAAACTACATAATATCGTACTCTCAACGACAATATTTAAAGAAAAGAAAAATATGTGTTCTAGATTTTTTTTGCTATGGTGAAGTACTATTTTGTGAGCATAGCCAGCATGTATGTGCTTATATGATCGCACTTAACGTTTCTTACAATGTAATTTAATTAATGTAATCCCTGAAAACAGATGTCGAATGTATCATGTTTAGTGTGTGTCCTAATGTTCCCAAATTTGAACTTTTAAACCCAGACAAAGACTCTTGGATGGACAATGGGACTGCAGAAACCTGGTGCTCTCCAGACACTTAAGTATATTGATGAGACTTCTGTCCTGTTTGCTTCAGCTGTTTATTTTTTACTCGATGTTGTAAAGCTAAGCCAACTCAGTAAGAATCCCTCAGCATGGAAATGTCTGTTTTGGACTGTTTCTGTCTGACAGCCTTTTTTGGTAAACATGCTTCTAGGGGGAGGTAAAAAGTGTGTATTCCAACATGACCTCCTGTTTGGCCCCTCGGCAAAATAAAATTATTAAGCAAACAGACAGTTAATCCGGGCCGCAAGTGAGGATGTGGATTGGAACGTTTTTCACAGGCTAGTGATTATCTGTTTCAACTGCAAGATTCTCCATTCCCTTTTTGTCATACAAACGCAAAATGTCAGAGGTTCTAAAACAGACCCTTTTCCAAGTATGTGTATTGAGGCTACAAATTTGCTCTAACGTCAGACAGAGGATATAAGGATCTATAGAAAGGTTGATACTTCAAGACACTGCAAGAATTGATTTAGTCCACATCTTATAAAACGTTTTACTGTCTATTTCCTAGATGAAATGCTTTTGAAAGGGAAAAAATATTGGAACAGATTATATGGCATTATAAAATACAGGATAATTTCTGTATTTGAAATCATGAAAAATGAAAGTGTGCGTATTATATGAATTTAATCCTTTTTGATTTATTAAAAGAACTTTCTATTGACATTAATTTCATATATTCTTAATTATTGTTGTAAGGCTTTCTGTTATAATTAAACGTGTTTTCCCTTCTTACAACATACAACAACTTCAAAATCATCTTTTTTTAGTATGCCTTTATATTCACCTCAATTATTCTTAACTTGTGCTTAAGTGCTCTCAACTGTCCATTGATTATATGTGAAAGAAGAAAAGAGTGATTAAGTTATTGTTGAAATTGTTACTAAGGCAGAGAGGTTAATATAGATTAAAAGGTTGATTGTTTTTAAAAAGAAAGACAAAAGAACAATAATATGATCAAGAATAAGACATCATGGACTACTAAAAGAAGAAGACCATATGACATCTGGGTACTATATTCAGTTGCAATTTAAATGATGGGTTAGTTGAACAGTTAAAATATTTTCTTTAAAACTAATTAGAAGTTTTAATTGCAATAAAAAAGTTCTAATTGTTTTAATTATAATTTCTATATTTCATAAACTTTATATGAACAGACTGTATAAATTAGTGTTTTTAAGACTGCACCCTGAAAAGGAAGACACAGTTTTGCAGAGCACACATACACACATGAAAAAGTTAAGCACACCCATTAATATAGCTAGTGTGTCTGGAGGATAAAGGCAAATCAATTGACCCAGTAAAACCCAAATGAAAGTGAAGAGATTGTGTAAACTTCAGAATCAATCTTGTTGCCCATAAGCAGCAGATATAATAACCATACAACAATAAAAATGTTTCGACTTAAACCTAGTACTGACTACCCATTTTTCATTTAGTAGTATGACTTATGAATTTTGTTATTTTCCAGCAATGCATGCTGTAACCTAGAAGCCTTTGCATTTCAAAAAGTGTTCCATGTTTTCAAGTAAATTCAAGTGGCGGCTGAAGGGTGAAGCTCATGATTGTGTGGGTAAGAATGTGACACGAGTACAGTCTGCTTTGAATCATACAGTAATAATTTACATTTAACCATACTCTTTTCATTCTGCTTAAAATATGTGGCCTACTCCCCAACTGTTCTCTGTTATCAACTGTTTAATTTAACCCCACATCTCGATGAATAACGTTCTAGACATTTATCCAGACACTAGATACTTGTGCACATTATCAATTAAATAATACAGAACTATTGGACACATTTTGGATGCAGTCATGTTCTTAATTCTTAGCCAATAAAAAATGTGTACTAAGCTCAGTAGCAGCTTGTCTGGCTGATATGAATGATCATGTTCTACAGTGAACAAAGTGAAGAAGAACCTAAGGTCAGTGTTCCAGATGTGTCATTTCGCTGAGGTTGATGGAGCAGCAAGTGACTGTAGGAAGTCCACAGATAATTTATTGTTTCTAGGTCAAATTCACAATTTAGGACGATAAAACAATGATAATCTGCATATAATTATATATTATTATACTGGATGAGCATAACTATCAACTGAGAGTCATAACCCATCTGTATCAATAAAATGCAAATATGACATTTGGAGATTGGACACTTTATTGACAAAGTGCCATATATTGGTAACATTTTATGTTTCTGTTTTTTATATTTTCAAATTTTCCTGAATTCTGTGTCACATAAAGTTTCATAGTCTTTATTATGTGTATCTTTCCATTTTGAAATATTAAACTAAATCAAATTGAGTTCTTTATTAAACTAAATCAAATGGGGGCGGTGCGATGGCACTGCGCCTGTGGCTGGAAGGTTGCCGGTTCGTATCCCACAGCTGGCAGAGGAATCCTATTCCGTTGGGCCCCTGATCAAGGCCCTTAACCCCACCTGCTCCAGGGGCGCCGTATAAATGGATGACCCTGCGCTCTGACCTCAGTCTTCTCTCCTTGTCTGTGTGTCTCATGGAGAACAAGTTGAGATATGTGGAAAAGAGACAAATTCCTAATGCAAGAAATTGTATATGACCAATAAAGTGTTCTTCTTCTTCTAAATTTTACAGCTTTCAGCCCTATTGTTCTAAAACTGCAGTTTCACTGTACTCAAAATTGTTTACAGAGTGGCTCCTAGACTCAGTCCTGCTTGTAACAGTCATCATAGGGAATATAACCACATGTTGTAATTCTCTGGTATGCACAAGCCAAAGTGAATTCACCAGGTCAATTTTTCCTTATAACACTTGTAGGCACCTAATTACTATGGAGTGAACATTTTGTCATATTCTTTGTATAAAACTAGTATATAATGTAATACATTAATCATAACTGTGACTGTATTTCATGTTACATGCAGACTTTCATTTATTTCAGCCTAGGTATATTCATTTACTACATTTTACTTTAAACCGTAATTGTCTTACAAAGGAAGTTACACCTTTTCCGTAATGTTTTCATTTGACATGTACACTGTGTCCTGTTTAGTTGGAGTACATTCTGTATGTTTTAAGATTTTAAATTTTAGTTATAGGTTTAGTACTTTTATTCTGGAAATTCTTCTGCCTTTACAATACCCCACATTACTAATTGAAGGATTGAGCACAAGTGTGATATTTCTCAGTCTCTACCTCTTCCCATACCAATTAAGGAGAACTCTTCACGTAAAAACAAACGGACAGTTTTGGAGGTGTTATCATCCTTAATCAAAAGCTTGTAAGATCTGCAAACTACAGAAGAGGTGTTAATGAACATCTACAGATTTGCATTACAAATGTATGCCTCTTAATTGAAGAATATGCATATGACTTTTAAAAGCATAAGCCTTTGGAGTAATGTCATTTCTTAAAATTCCACATGTAGCCATTGACTTGTGGGGAATTTATGGACTAATACTCTATACTACATTAACCTTTCCCAAGATTCAATTTTTGATGATTAAATAAAGGATTTAGGTCTCTGATATTACATTTTATCTTTTAACACTTTTATGATTCTTATTGGAGCTAAATTCTGAAATCAATTGGATTGCAACATTGGCTTCCATGACAGGTACAAAACTCCACTGTATCTTCTATTTGCCATACAGTAGGTATGAGGATTAGTCAATCTCTATTTGTTTTACTGCCCAGAAATACAGTAAGTTACAAGTACATTTCTGCAAAAGGAGCAATTTTTACAATACATACACATGTAACTGAGCCGAAACACAATTTTTGAAAAAAAAAAACTGTATATGCCTACAGCATTCTGGGATTCAAACCTCGCCAGATACAGACAGGGGCATACACCTGATACTGTACTAAAAAAAAGGTAATGGGTGTGATAGCAGATCTAAGAGAGGACAGAGTTGTTTTACT